TCCTGTCACCAGGCCTGCTGCCGACAGAAAGAGGTTTTGCTGGGCTCACGAGGTACCAGGGTTCAGTCCATGCTTTCTCTAAGGCAGAGCAAGCAGCTTAGCTCCTGGCAGTCAGGAAGCAGAGCAGGGGACAGCGCCAGGGAGGAAGGGAAGGGGACCAGACAGGGACGCACCCAGGTCACACCTCCCTGACCCCCAAAACACTGAAGGTGTGCCCCAACCAGAGAACTGACTGCTTTCAGCAACTTCCAACCACGTGAGGATTACTTCAGGTAATAAAAATCCCAGAATGGAGAAAAAGGTGAAAGACAAACTGCATTCTCCTGAGCTCACCCTAACTAGTTCTCCAAGCTGACGGCAGGGATCGCTCAGCGTCTCTTGCCTCGTCCTACCATCATGAGTCAGGGGCCACATACACCCAGCACAGCCCTTTCTTCCCACCTTGACCATAACCTGGTTAGTGTCCCTACTGGCACATAACTTCCTAAATCAGGCCAGGAGATGGCTCAGCTGCATAAGCACCTGCCAAGCAAGAGCAAGGTCCTGAGTTCAATCCCCAGTACCAATGATTTCCCATTACACCAACTTCCAATGAAACCTGTTGCTGGGACACTAATTCTGCACCTTCTTGTGCCCTTCACCAGCCTCGTAAACATGTGTGCTGCAGCAGCTCACAGTCACCTCTTACTTACGTGTCTCAGGGGCCAAGAAGTCCCCCGCTCAGCATGCTCCCGAACCTTCCACTTCCTGTATCAGCAAATTAAGGAGACAAATGTTGGCGCTAGTGATTCGTGGGACCCTCTTTGAGGCTCTGATTAGATGGCTTCAGGGTGACAAATGTCCCTAAGAGGAGACTCCAGGCCCAGGCAAAGTGAGGTCACGATGGTTCTGGGGCCAGGCTTGGGTGCAGGACACAAGTACCGCACAGAGGCTCCCACGCACTGACGCTGGACCTGCCTCGAAAGAGTCCAGCATCAGAGCCCAGCGGGTGTGTCAGGCTCAGCTGCCGCACTTCCTCACAGCAGGCAGACCCAGCAAAAGCTTCATCACAGAGGCAGAAAGCGCACGGCTGCAGCCACGACGCCTCAGCGTGCTGGAGACATCTGGATGTCAGGGAGTACACGCACAGTGTCGGGAGGGAAGTGCCACGAATCATGAAGTCACTCAACAGAACACGGTGCTAGAAATGGTTTTTTTTTGTTTGTTTTTTGTTTTTTTGTTTTTTTCTTTTCGGAACCAGGGATTGAACTCAGACACTTGGGCTTGCCAGGCAAGCGCTTATTCTACTGAGCCATCTCCCCGGCCCAAAATGTTTTCAACTGAAGCAGAAATGAAAGTATTGAGCCAGAATAGGTGTCTGCTTTAAATTACTGAAATGTTTACCCAGTGAAGTCCTAGAATAAAAAGTTTATCTTAATAGCTAACAATTAATTTAGAATTATGGGTATAATCTTGAAAAAGATAACAACAAAGGAATATAAGAAGTCTCTGGTGTTCCATCCTCTTAAGGAACAACTGAGGTACCGTGAAATAGCTCAGCGGACGACACGCCTGCTTGGCAAGCACAGGGGCCGGGTTCGAGCTACTTACGCGGCAGGAACTTTGTGAGCAGGTTCCTTCAGGAGGCAGAGTGGGGAGCGGAGAATTAAAATGCACAGCTTATATTCACTTCAGGTTTCCAGCTGTAAGCTAATTATTATGCTTAGAAAATGGTAGCATCCTTAAAAATAGTTCACAGAAAAAAAATGTATATAATAGGAAAAGAAAGGTGTGTAGAAACATTTTAATACAACCTTTACTGAGACACTGTGAGGAGTCATACAAGTTACCATGGCCTCTATAGCTGCAAGAGGTGCTCAGGGTGGCGGCCACAAGCTTCCAGGCGCCCAGGGTAGGGGCCACGAGCGTCTTAGCGCCCAGGGTGGTGGCCACGAGCTTCCCGGTGCCCAGGGTGGGGGCCACGAGCTTCCTGGTGCCCAGAGTGGGGGCCACGAGCTTCCCGGTGCCCAGGGTGGCGGCCACGAGCTTCCTGGTGCCCAGGGTGGTGGCCACGAGCTTCCTGGTGCCCAGGGTGGTGGCCACGAGCTTCCCGGCACCCAGAGTGGGGGCCACGAGCGTCTTAGCGCCCAGGGTGGGGGCCACGAGCTTCCTGGTGCCCAGAGTGGGGGCCACGAGCTTCCCGGTGCCCAGAGTGGGGGCCACGAGCTTCCCGG